GTTATCTGCTGGTGCAAGTGAAGAAAAGTGACTCCATGTGTCTGACACAGGTCCTGTCATGGGTTCTTTTTTTAGATGGTTGGTGAATGGGTGGTGGAGCCAACTTCAGTATATGTAGAACACCAGAATAACTGTAGATGTACACTTTATTCTGCTGTGCACTTCCTAGTTAAACACTGCAGCTGCAAGGAAAGTATCATGGGAATCGTTCTATAGAAAAGCCAGAGTCGTTTGCTGTGCCGATGTGGTAGACTTCATCTGTTTGAAGTAAACATTTGTGGTTCTTGGCAATCAAGTCAACTATCTGCAGCTGTGTCAGATGCCATGAAGTGCTTCCTTGCTTTTCATTTCTAACTGATCCACGTTCAGCTCTTTTTTTTCCACAGCTGGGAGTCACCGCTGTCACAAACTGATTTTAGATTCTCAGACCAGTCGGAAATACTACTGCTGGTTATTCCAGCCAAGTTTCTGCTTGATTGTTGACTTTTGCTGACACACCCTCCAGGCTCCAGCCTACAGCATGTGTAGAATTCAATCACAGCTTATGTACAAAAGATTAGCATGAGCAACTTACCTGTGTGTGTCTGTGACTGGCCTGTGTATGTGTGTATGTGTCTGTTTGTTTACACACATCAGTGCTCTGTTGTAATGCTGCAGATTAAAGAGGTTTAGCTCCGTCGATGGCCTTGTCACAGCCAAAGGACACATACAATGACTAATGTCGACAGCAACAGTATTAGCTCCAAAGGTTTTAGTCGGCCATGTCAAATCAAACAGTGCAGCAAAAAGCCATGGTTTCCCCCAGTTTCCTTCCTTTGTTGAAACATAATGGCTTCCGATATGCCTCACCACATTTTATGAGGATAACTGTATGAGCCAAAATAACTGAGCCCACTCATGACCTGCAGCAGGAGCCATGAGCTGGATTCTGTAAAATTTACTGTACCTTGAAAAAGGCAACGACCACCCTTTATGTATTTAATATCCGGTCATAACAGGCATTAAGTACAAGATATTCATCCTGAAGTGTTTACACATTATACAGAAGCCTCAGCAGCTAAAAATAGTAAATATATTTAGTGTGTCCACACTTTGACTTTTATATAGCTTCTGTTGTTTTTGGTAGATTTACTTTCAGTTTTTTAAAGAAATCTCCAGGGATATTTTTCCACACCTCATTTTCATTGGTTGGTTGCATTTTCTCCGTTCAACATTATTGAAGTCCAGGCTCTGGGGTGGTCAGTCCATTGTTCTGAGAACACCAGCAGCTTCTTTGTTTGATTTGTAAATTTTCTTCCTTGCTTCTTTATTTCTTTTTTTCTTCTTGACAGCTGCACATGCTTTCAGACTCATAGTGTTGTTGTCTTCTCACAGTGGAAAGATGGACAGAAATAACTGTAGATGAAGAAAGAGGGAAGCATGATTTTTTCTTAAAGATGAAAGTTTAAAGTACTGTTTATCTGGTGGCGACATTTTTGGTCCACCAGGTCTTGAACAGTTGTTAGTTGTCCTGTTTTCTCTGTATCTCTTCATCATCACAGCTCCAGTTTTGGGAACTTTTTTCCCCACTTACTCTCGTTTCCATATTCATTTACATGTTCTTTTTCTCTTCTGTGGGGATTGTCATATATCTAACCTTTTCAGAAATATCCTATAATCAAATGAAATGATTAATTTGTGCTTAATGGACATTTTGACTGGACATTTAATAAAGAAAGGGTGGTCTCTGACGTGTGCACGGTACTGTATATATTAGTCAACCTCTTTAGATACAGAGACTTTAAATTCTGAATCTCAGGCATGTTTAGGAGAGAGTGTTTACCCTGAGTTTGGTCATTATATAGCCTAAATCTGACGTCACACTCCACTTACCTGCATAATGTGGGGTTGGCTGCACATGTTTCCTTGTGTATTGTGCATAGTTAGGATCAAACTCGCGATTGCCTGATGATGGGGCCGACGTTTAGGGATTTCAGTTATGTTCAATGTATGGGTCAGACCTGCTGTACCAGCACTCCTCTTCCCAGCTGGCCTTTAGCTGCTTAATCGTTGCTGAGTTTGTGAGTGACAGTTGGCAGACTATAATGCTCGTTCGCAGACACTGGGATGTAACACACAGTGCCCAGGATTTCATTCTCACGTGCTGAAATTTGGCCTGGACTGGGCCTGCACCTAGTGAAGAGCCAGTTGAGTGAGAGGTCAAAATAAATGTTGGCTACTTAAGCAGAATAGTATGTGCGTCGACCAAAACCATTTCCAGCATAACTGGTCACAAGGTCTGCAGAGTTCTGGAAAGAAACAGGTTCACAGGCTTAAAGATGACCTTTTTAAATGTGTTATTATTACTAAATTTAGCAGTAAGCTAGATGTTTAGGAGGCCTGCGTTCAACATTGTAGAACTATGTGCGCCACTAATCTGACCATCTGCTGTAATAGCTTTTACTTTGCATAGTGCAGCTCTGCAACGGTCTCCTTTTTGTTTTTCAGTTTTATTGCTATGTTTCGAAAGGTAGGTGTCATAAACATCCAGTGCATTAGTAGCTCAAAAGCAAACCAGGACCTTCTTTTTATGATCAGTATTTGCAAGTCTGAAGGTCCCTGTCTTCCTAAACAGTATCAGATGTTTACTGAAAGGCTAACAAGAGATCTTAGATGTTTGCTTTGTTTCTCTTGTACAGGTCTTCATAAATAATCATGTCAGTGATTCTTATACTGTTCCATGTAGTCTAAAAATTCACTTGACATTTTCCGATTGGCAAATAAGATTTTTGCCATAAAGTTTTGGAAGGTATTCAGAAATTTCTGTTTGGGTCATCAAAACGTTCATCTGTACCGCAGGAATGGTTATGGAACAGGAATATAAACAAAGGTGCATTTAGCCTGCAGGTAGATGCTAATGGAAACATTTATGTAGAGTAAATGAGAGTACAAATTATGTAATTGCAGGAGCTTTAAAACAGGTGTGTTCTGAGTTAAACAAGTGATTATGATCCTATTTATTATGTTGTACAGAAACTCGTTTTCTGCAAAGGCAGTGCTACCCCCTCCACCTCACTGGGAATGAGTGGGTCAGTGAAAGATTTGTTTAGCCTCAAAATAGATTAATCAGTGTCCACTGAGACATGGGATTTTGTGTGGCATAGATTTTATAATTAACTTCAAGAAGTTACATTAACTGCACACTTTCATCTCTGGAAGATGCTTACATTTCCATTATTTTGGTCTGAACTTTTTACATTGTATTTTGTCATTTAACTCAGGCTTTTGTCCAAAGCATCGTACACTAGCACCCTGCAATCCACATGTAGAGTATCAAGCAGACGCACACAATTGAAGGTTCTGAGCCAAAGCTGAGTTCTCTACCAGTTATAAACCAGGGTATGTGTAGTGCAATTCTTTAGATTCTCCTGACTGACTAAAGTAAGTTGTTCACTTGTTTGTACTGTTGCTTTAACAAATGCTAGCCTTTGGATACAAAGCTCCAGAGATTTGGAACCGAACTGTCCCATCTGCCGAGATTGGTAAACGTATCATTTAGCCTACCTTGGTAGTCTGTTGTTTACTGAGATTGATGGTTTTGGATGTTTAGCCAAGGCTAAATGGAAGGCTTAGGTTCGCTGTATTCAGAAACAGGTCTGTAGTCTTATTTGCGTGGTACATTATGAAGCGGAGGGTGTAATTGTGCAGCAGGCTGTTCAGGTCTCTGATAGTCTCAACCGTCTGTCAGATAAAAATGTCAGAACAGGTAAGCATTCTCAAAAAGGGAAGTTTAAATGTCGGCTATGCGTCTGTTTCTGCTCAGGAGCAAGAGAGGGAGAGAGAGAGAGAGAGGGAGAGAGATGTGTGAGATTTATAAAATTGGACTGTGTGTGCTTGCACGGCATGTATGCTCATCCCTGCAACCTTAATCCTCCCTCTGATGCACCACTGGCACATGTTAGACTAATCTCTCGGACTGAGAAAATCAGGGGAAGCCGGGTGGGGTTGGGGCGGGTGGGAGCTGGGAGGAAAGGATAGAAAAGGAAAGAGAAAAATAGAAAGAGAAGATATGAATTGCTAGAAATTGAAGGCAGATTGCCTTTACCTGTTTGCTGTAATATTTGTGTTGTGTTTATAGCACTAGTCTGCCTCACATGGAGGCCTCACTGTGTGAGGCTTTGACAGTTAGTGTTCCTGGTTGTGCCCTCCCACACTGCCCTCTAGTGGAAGTGAATCACAAAAAATACTTTTTTTATGAACAATTAATAATAATAATAATAATAATAGTAATAATTTATATTATTATTATTATTATTATTATTATTAAGGAAGTTGTCTGGTAATGTTAGTAGTAATTTAACAGGAGAAAATCAGTGCATTTGTCAAAGGCAGCATTCCACCTCTCCTCTCCCTAGTCTCATGTACAAGTGCTGTTGAAAGCGGCAGTGAGATAATATCTAATAGGGTTGTTCTCGCAAAACTACCTCAGAAAATAAAGATTAAGCATTGAAAAATCATCTTAAAACCTTACTGTGTTGCAGTAATGAAAATTAGATCACTTAAATTGGAAGATGTTACTAAACATCTATTTAGTCATTAGTCATTTAGTATTTCTTTGTATCCCACTGTTTGTCATGTATGTGAGAATAACTTGATAAAGTTAGCACCTTTATTAGGCACATAGACATCTACTCATCACATGAGGAGGGATTCCAGCATTTTACTAACATAATTTTAGTAGATGTGAAAGCAGACAGAAATACATTTCTCTCTTGTGGTAGCCTAATAAGCATAATAAGGCTGATAAAGTGATGTTCTTTTCTATCAGGAAAGAAACGTCACTGTCGAGCTGCCTGTTTTGCACATCTCTGATGAAACATGACGCTGCATTGATGCACCAGATGTCAAGTGCTGTCTTTTGCTGTAATTACTATAATATTGTGATGTGATGAAGCGTACAAATGTATTGGTTCCTGTATCTCTGTCATCCCTTTGCTAATGCGTCCTGTGTCCGCCAGCAGAACGATGGCTGACCTGAGTCTTAGCGATGCTCTGACTGACAGCGTGCCCCCGGCCGCTGAGGAGAACATGGTGGAGAGGGACTTTGTTTCTGCGCTGGAAGCTGAGCCCTTCGATGACCAGGTTGGGGAGACAGTGGGCAAGACAGACTACGTCCCACTGCTAGACAATGACGGAAAGGGTGAGTTGCACACAGTTATGGCAAACGCAGTTCTGTGTGAAGAGGACTGATGGGGTTGAAAAAATGGGGTTGTAATGATTCACAAAAATCAAAATTAGATTTGATGCGATATGGTGGTGCCTCGATTCGATACGTTTTTCAATACAGCAAAAATAAGGAGTCACTGAATTAGAGAGGCATAATAATATTGGAATCATATCAATATTGACAGATATTTACTTTCGAAATTGACATTTGATGACATTTATTGTACCATTTAGGTGACATTTGGCTACTACAGTAGAACATTTGCATTTTATTATTTTTGTTCATTTCAGCACAGAAATAAATGTTAAGTGTCTCCATAATACTCATCCAAGTAAGCCTAATCCCAGTATCTACGTTTTATAAATGTTTATATATCAGCAACAGCATCTGCAGATATGTGTATGAAAATACCAGATGTCAACATCAACCTACAACTCCCATATCTGTGCATCCCTACTGAAACCCTGCATTATGTGAATGTTTCAAATTTTCAGTTTCTTCAATGTCATTCAACAGCATAAACGTACAGTATTTCATGTGCAGTATTTTATAATGAATATATTGTTCACTACCTGTGCATATTGAATTGTGAGGTTCATATTGAATGATACAATAAAATGATACAATAAAAAAAAACACTCCTAGATGCTCCACCCTGACACTACTGTATTTGTAGAGTCTTAGTCTTTGTAAGTTTCTACTGACAGTCATATCGGTAAAGCAACGTTTAACTAGAAGTATTGGAGTATGTTTCATTTTAGATAATATAAAATTATACTGACTGATGTCTGTTATCTGAATTGTTTGCTCCTTAAAATTCATATCTGTGACAACATTTTCATAGCAGTTGGGTCCTAAAGCACATTCATTTATCTTGCATGCTATTTGACCACAGTGGTCAGTAAAACACATTTCTGATCATGTTGACAAATTACCAAAGGTTCACAGATGAGTTTAGTCATACTGCTGGTCGTGTTGCCATAGCTGCATTTTATGGTAGATATCCAGTTTCAGCTTTTTTCTCTCATTTGAGGTAAGCAGGGCTGCATTCCACCACACAGGTTTATTTGTCAGGCGATCATCATATGCTCTCCATGCTCTCTCTCATACGCTCAACTCTCATACTCGACTCATACTCAGAGTCGAATGGAAATGCTATCTCCTTTCTCTGTAGATAACTGGCTAACGCACCCGATAGAATAACGTTGTTGCAGATAATTGGACAATGAGGTATAGCCTTTTAGAAACAGTTAGCAGTTCAGCAGGGGGGCAAATGGCAGCTGACACTTGAGCTTGAAAAACTAATATCTGTCTAGAGAGCAAGAACATACAGTACCCATATTATTTTCCAGATGTGATCTGTGAAGCTTTGAAACGAACCATTCAAAGCTCACAGTCAGGGGTCAAGAGGATGACAGTCAAGTATTACTCATAACAGTCAATCAGTAATGACTCTGATTTTTCAAGGAGATTTTTGTGACCTTGTCATAGATATGAAATAACACACTATATAATTCTCACAATATTGTGCTTTTGTGTTCATTCCACAGCACACATTCTGTAGTAGGGGTGGAAGTCTCAAGGTCTCATACTTCAGTGTGATCTCTTTAGGATGCTGAGATGCAATTATGAAACAATTCTTGATGCATTTTGATGCATTTTTGATTTCTATAGCCTACATTATGATTATTTTCTGTGTTTATCATTAACAAGTAGTGTTAGCTTAGTTGAATTTGAATGTAGCCTTTACTTTGCACTTGTTAGTCTAAAGGAGAAATACAAAAGAGATTCAGTTTTTTTATTTGATCTGTTTACTTTTCATCAGAACTGTTGAGTAGTGATAAAATATTTTCTTGGAGAAAAAAGACAAAGGGTTGAGAACCCCTGCCGCAGACCGCTGTAAGATAATACAGTAAAATAGTTGTCCAAACATAAAGCATTATTTGTCATATAATCATAAACATACATGTATATAGCTGTGTTTAATGTAGCAACTTCCATCCTTTTTTGTTAGCTTGACTTTTTATTGGCCTAATTTTGTCCCCAAATTGTGTCCCTAAAGCAGCGTGGCATTTAGCGAACACCATGTAGCAAAATACAGTGAAATAAATATGACAGCTAATGAAAACAACATGAATAAAAACAGAAACTGTGCAAACTGTAAAGTTCGTGATCGGTCAATCACAAAAAAATGTATTTTCTGTTTTGTTCACAGTACACATTTACCAGTAGGACTAACAAGCTTGAATCAACTGCTTAGTCACAAGTCAGAAAGCTGCCGAAAATTAATTAACGTATCGTTCTCATTTACAAATAATTTGTACTGAAGAAAATAACTGATTTAACCATTTGTCCTTGGATGCCTGTGGAACTTGCTTAAAGTTTCATTCAACAGTTAAAAACGCTGTATGTGTGAACGTGTACAAGCTGTTGCAGTCACGCTGCCGCATCACTCATGGTACACTGAGGGAGTCAGTGTGAAACAAGCCATGGTTGGATTCTGAGTCATATTATCAATCTGGAACATGTTTCACCAGTTTAGTCTGTATGTACAGTTTTATCCAAATGTATGAACACCCTCGGTCACATGACATGTTTTGTTGATTTTATAAGTGAAAATTAACGCATCCTCTAGAAGGAACAAAAATCTGCACTGCAGATTTTAGTGCACAGTTTTTATGTATTTGCTGAGTTTGGAAAATAAAACTTAAAATGTAAAATATTGTGTAACCTTTGCCACATTTTATAGGTTTTTTTTTTTTAGCCTATTTGTTAAATTCAGCAAATAAAAAGTAATTGTGCATTAAATGTGCAGAAGTGTGTTCTCTTTTAAAGGATGTGTTCTCTTGTGTCTTTTGACCAGGGGCATCAAAACTTTTGCATACAAACATTTTCTAAACCACTTATCCTTCCGGGTCATGGGCGGTGCTGGAGGCTATCCTGGCAGTCATAGGGTGGAAGGCAGGAAACACCCTGGACAGGTCGCCAGTCCATCCCAATGAAAAACATGTATCTCCATTTCTTGCGATTTTTAATTTTCTGCATCATTTGAGCTCAGCAGCTGTCCTTCACATTGTTTGAAAGTTCATGAAGATTGAAGCAACAGAAATGCTCCAAAATTGCTTAGGAAAAAATCTCTTTCCATTTACTTACATTGAAAGTAACTGCCCTCTCCTGTGAAGTTACTACTTTGGAGATGCTTGTTTTTCTTTGGACAGCAATGATGTATGCATATGTAATTAGGATTTTGTAAGCACTGTTTTAAATAGGATTTTATTTACAGATTTTATAAATGGGCTTAATAGGGTTTTGAAAGGCTGCGGGCTGACTTTGGGTGATGATGCTTTAAGTGATGCCTGAGATTGAATCCATGTTTTTAAACAGTGTTGACAGATCTGTCATGAACATTCTCTGCTTCTTGATTGGTTCAAGTCCAGAATGACTCCAGATTGTTGCAGTGATGATTGGGCACAGGGCTGCAACAGACTGTTGTGTTTGTGTCCAGACGTGAGCTCCATTTGCTCTAACAGTGTCACTGCTGTGCTTCAGTGTTCGTTTAGATAGCAGTGATGGGTAATAGCTCTGACATTTTGCATATCTCTGTGAAACAGCCTGGAGGAGAAGCCTCTCCTTCTATTTCCATGTAGCCCTGAGTGCTATATCTTGCAGTATGCTTATTTGGCTATGTCATTGTCCTCTGTGAATCTGCTGTGGTAGACCTATATGAGTACTGAGCAAAGTTAAACGGGAATATGATGTGTTAAGCTAGTGCTGGGTTCGATTGTGTTCCATTCAGAGGCTGTTGAGTAACTGCCGGGCCTTTAGTGATGCACTATTGTATGTATGTGTGTGTGTTTGTGTGTGTCTGTGTATGTGCAAGCAGAAACAGATGCAGTGTTGGAGAATGGACAGCAGGATGCCCAAGGGGCACAAACACCTGGTAAGAGGTATCCCATAATGTCCCTGGATACTCTTGTTGTTATCACACACCATTTTTATCATTTTTCCTTCAGATTTTTTTTCTCCATACATTGTTATCCTTTGTTTTAGGAATGTAACTGTCAATTCGTAGTTATTGCTGTCTACAGTTAAAAGCTACCTCTACTGACAAAATTAAGTTTTTGTTGACTGTTGTTTGTAGCTACTCAGTGTCTTCTTTGGTTATCACTGCAGTAATGTAGTTCATTGATTGAAACCCTTTTAGGAAATAAGAATCAATACTGAAAAGTTAGACTAGCTAAACAACCAGTCTAATACCATGAAGCTTATCCTAATTACTGGAAGTTACAGTTAAATTCTCAAAACGTAGGGCAGGTAAATATATAGCCATAGTGGCACGTCTTTCAGATGGCTGGTAATGTGCTGGAGTTAAAGCCAGTTGAAGTATATGCTGGAAAGTGAGTGTCTCTCATTATACCTGGTAGGGCTGCACGATAAATTATATTTTTAATGCCATCACGCTATGAGTCTCCACATTGTTAAGGGCTGCGATGACAGAACAGATGAGATTACACGTGAGCAGTGTCAGAGTCACATGATTACACCAGTGGAACAGAGCTTTAGCAGGTCAACAAGTGCTTCCTTGCACTGTGCTTGAACAAGGAGAGTGAGTAACTTAACCATTCAGCTAGATGGCTAATTATGAAACACACCTGCACAATTCAACTATTCCATCTTGAACTACTAGCCTGTAAAAATACTTCAAATGTGATTATTCTTTTCACGCATTCATGTAACCTTCATAGAAAAAGCTGTTTTTGTTGACTTCACGTGCACAAACTTTATATGCACAAAATATGTGCTTGCAGTTCTGAAGTAAGAAGCTATTAGTATTTAATTATTTTTATTATTTTTAAAACTGAGTAGTATTTTGTAATCTTGTGTTTATTTAAAACAAGAGGTAAAAAAAACTTTAATCAAGACTAATCATTAATTATTGCTTGTCATATTGTCATTGTAATAACCAACAACTTTATTGAACACCACATTTTTTGTCCGTATCGTGCAGCCCTGCTACTTGGTCTTCATCTATTACTCTAAATGGAGGAGGTCAATGTATTGAATTTGATTTAGTCTCTAGGGGTCAGTGCCTTTTTAACTGATACAGATAATAAATACTTTGTTGGCAGTTCTACCTCAAGAACAGTGTCATATTCTTGCCTCTTCTGCCCTGTTCATAGACATGACTCAAACCATTACCACAACGGAGGTTACTTCCATGGCTCTATCAGGGAAGAAACATATTTCAGCTAGATATTACTTCCTGCTAACTAATCACATAACCCCCAGAACATTTAGCCACTCATAAACAGTGCTTTACATAGTAACTGGAACCACTGGTAAAGATGAGTGGAAAAGAGAGTGAAATTTTTTTTTTATTGTGAAAAATGAGAGAAATCGAAGCCTTCAGCAATGCAAAATTATTCAGAGAGTTCATTGTGACATATGGTACGTTTTGTCGGTCGTTTATGTTCTCTGTTCGGAGCTATGTGTCCGATTAGATTCTGTCTCAGATTGTCCACATTACCTTGTGGTTCTTGTCTGGGTTGTGTTCTGGGAATGAATTAGGTGAGGGCTCAATCAGTATTGTTTTAAAAAGATGTTTAATGAGTCAACAAGAAACTGTATACTCTGTACTTCACTGGTATACTTTCTACATTTCTTGTCAATGTGCCTGGAGTTAAATAATTGCTCCCGGCCTTTTAATGATTTCAGTTTATGTGCAAAAGCGGGACAGTAGAAAATCGATCACCCTCATTTAGAGTAGTCTGAGATAGCTTAATATTTTGGCTTGTTCAAATTAGGCTAATTCGTATGTATTATCGGCTTACGAAGAATTGCTGGATTTGTGTGTTTATTTATTTAAATTCTGCCTTTTGGCCATAACGACGTGTTATGTCTCACTGTTTTTAGCAGTTTAGTTTGCCACTCTTTCAGTTTGGCTCATTAGCTGTTGTCACATTATCTTGGTCAACTGTATGTTTAAGCATTATTTCTATTATTTCCCATACTGTCTTGTTTTATGTTTTGTAGTTTTTGTTTTTCCTCATCCTTTATCTGAAGCAGGATTTGTTTGCATGCTAAGCAAGATAGAACTCTACAAATCGTTGCTCATGAGTTTTTAGCACTTGCCCTGTCAAAGCTTTTTGCTCAGCCTGAGTTGGCTTTTTCTAAATTGACCACAGCTTCTGTATATTCTGCCTTCTGATGCGTGCAAGAATAGTGTAGCTGCCCCTACAACCAGAGTCAAATCTGGCATACAGGAGCAAAAAGCTTTGGACAGGGTGAGTCAGAAGATTCAGCGTTGCATGATGAGGTCCGCTGTGCCAGCATGACTGCCCTGCCACGGCTTGTGGCATGTTATTAGGAGGAGCCCCTTGCTCGCCTGGGCCTGCCGTGTCCGTCTGCATGCTGAGGTCAGTCTACGAGGCAGCACAGCGTAGCACAGTAGCAGTCTGGTTCTGCCACACTCTGTGAAAGACCACCTGCCCTCTCCTCCCTGCAGGCTTCAGATCCGCTTCTAATTCTAGATGTTCAGATATTATGCAAGTCAAGTCGGCCTTCAGAATCAGTCAGTTACAGTCATGCCAAAATGCTGTGCTCTATTGTGTTTTACAGTCAGTCACCTTGTGGTGGTGCTGTTGTACACTTTACTTTTTGCCGCATAGACTCAGGATGAGTTTTCTTGTTTTTTCGAGCAGAGATTCCATTTATCATTATCAGAGCCCACCCTTTGCCAGGCTTGTAGTATCTAGGGCAGGGAATTTAGAGCGCTCTGTAAGCTGCTCACAAGAGGATGATGGCCCAGGAGCTGTGCCTTTGAGCTGTGTTGCTGCATGGTTTTTAGGGGGGATGGGGTAGTGCTGGGTGATATTGACAAAATTCAGTATCACAAGATTATGTCAATGCAGTCAGATGATATGTCAGTTCATAAAATTATGCTTACATTGTGCTAAAAGAATGTCCTGCAAATTACTTTGAGTGGACTGTTGTGTTCTGTTTTCGTATACAAAAGGGAACTGAACACAGTACGGCAAATGTGAACCAGAGAAGATTTTTGGAAAGTAATCTTGCAATTTATTTAATTTTTATGTGCTTTAAACTGCTCTTTCATTCTGTGCTTTCAGTCTGTCTGAATCTGAAGCGGCAGACAATTGTAATATGATGCAGTTAACTGTTAGGTCCTCGATACCTAAACAAGAATTTAAAAAACTAAAAACAAACTGCTTGGCAACATGGATGCTGCTATTTATCAATAGTGCCTCATTTTAAAGTGATTTGAAGTACAGTAAAAGGTGAGCAATATGACTGTTTTATTATTCTGATTAATTTTGTTAATTGTGTTACTTTAACTACATTTTTATGAGCACATTATGAATATTGTGCATACTTAAAAAAGACTGACCAACTGCATGTTTCATCAAAAAGATGTGTAAGTAGTCCTGTTTAATTAATAAAAATCAATGTACCCAGAGTTTTTAATGGTAGTTTTTGAATGCGGCACTACTAGTGCATTGTGTTTGCATGTCAGAATAGTTTTATGATATATTTTTGCCACATTACCCACCCCTAGTACAATGATCCTTTTATTCATTTAAAATAATGCACTGCCATACATTTTGGCCTCCTGCGTTATTGAGATTTGAACTTGCGACAATAAGACAAAACCATTTGGGAGCTTCTTCCAAACTTCTTTTTAATAAAACGTGTTGGTGGTCAGTGTAGGTCTTTGTTTTAGAAATACTAATGATAACCACAATCAGAAAAGCTTATTATGCTGTGGTATATAATGACAATGATATCATATAATCCTATCGCTCACCCCAAATTATTGTGGACATAATGCATCTTATCTAAAAGTGTTTCTAAAACTGAAAATTAGTATCGCAGTACCAATACTGATATCACCCAGCACTGGGGTTAGGGTCGGTGTTTCTGTTGCGCTGCCACGCATGTTGCATGTGGGGATGCATGGGGGCCGGAAAGGAATGAAGGGCGGGAAGGGGATTTGATTGGATTGATTGACACGCCTGATCCTGTTGTGATCGAGTACTAACCAGCACTTTTATTCTCTTCCCATTGCCCGCTCTCACTGGACCCTCTGCCCCTCAACACTTTTCATCACACTCTCCCTGCTGCCTACTTTTCTTTCTTTATTCTCCATTCTTTTATGTTCATTCTCTTTCTTATTCTCTCACCTCTGATCAATGAATCACCGTTCACTTTGCTCCGTTTCACTTTTGATTCATTCATCACCATCTTCTGCCTCCCTTCTCCTTCCTCTTGTTTCCAATGCCACCTCTCTGCCCTCCTCTACTTTCTCGCCCCATTATGTCCTCCAGAGGATTAGCTTTGCTGCTGCTGTCAATGGCTTAGACCTGCATCCGCCTCCCAGCGCCTCCTTTCCTGCCTTCACCACACAAAGCATCAGCCACTCCACCATCCGACTGCTCGCCAGCAGCTGCACCGCAGCAGAGGACTGTTAGGAACCCTGTGGGATACCCACTACCTATCCCCTCTTTCCAGCCTCAACCCTGCTGGACTGGGTCTGCCCCAAGGGCTTCGTTTACTGGGGGAAGAGCCAAGTAGCATTCATAGCAAGTCACCACCTGGACACCACACAACAAACTCAGCGCATTCCACACAAAAACAAAAGACACAGGCCTAGTGATGGAACTTTGTGAAAATTTCCTGTTGTTTTATCAGTGGTCACAATCTTTTTTTTCAGTAGGATTGCAGTATTGGTAAAATAGGCTGAAAATGGTTTAAAAAGCACTAATAAACAATTGCATAATTTCACCAGAGGTTTAACAATAGTGCTTTTAATAAACATCATTCTATTTCTTTCTAACAACAAAAAATCAACTGCAAAAGAATAGAACGATTCTTGTCACCTCATTTTACTTGACTGCCTATTGAAATCCAAAGAAGGCGAGATTT